AAAGCCCTCGAACGTATTCATGTTCTTAATAGTTTTAATTCAAATACCCCATTCTGCAGATGATAATGCAAAAATGTACATTTATCCTCTATTATTACTATATAATATCCTTAATTAAGATTTGAATTTTAAAAAGAGATTTACAATACCATTACAGTTTCACTCTGATGTATATAAATTGTACCATTATTTATTTTTAGAAAAAAGTAGGGTTCGAGTTCAAATGTGCAGGAATATAATCACGAAGACCGATTGGCCTGAGGGATAAATTACATAAAGCGTGCATTATTATACTACAATGCAAGAAAAATTAATATATATTTCCATTTTAACATGCTGATAAAAAAAAAAAGAATTGATGAAAAAATGCATAGAAGTTAGTTGCCTGACATCATTTGGTTTATTGTCCCCCGCCTTTTCGAGTAAAAAATGGGGATATAGAAATAGGTTCCGTCCGTCCGTCTGTCTGTCCGTCATACTTTCAAGTCCTGTCCATAACTTTGTCATTTATCAAAGGAATTTGAAATAACTTTGGACAAATGTTTGTTATAATAAGACGATGTGTCATGCGCGACAACCAGACCCCTACCACAAGGGTCAAGGTTGCACTTGCTCATTCAAGGCCAAACCTTGTCTATTTGAGGGTATATGTCGTGTCCGGCCATAACTTTCTGATCTTTGAAGGGATTTTGTAAATACTTGCCACAATTGTTCACAATAATAAGGCGATACGTAATGCGAAAAAACTGGTCACCTACCTCCATGGTCAAGGTCCGACTTGGAGGTCAAATATAAAAACATAGTCTGTTATAGCGGTATATTTTGTGTCCAGTCCATAACTTTTTCATAGATCAAAGCATTTTGAAAATACTTGCCACAAATAGTCACATTAATAAGACAATGTGACACGCGCAACACCTGCATCCCTTCCTCCAAGTTCAAGGTCACACTTAGAGGAAAAAAATAACATAGTGTGTTAGAGGGCATACTTTATGTCGGGTATATATCTTCTAAAAAGATCAATGGATTTTGAAAACACTTGGCAAAAATAGTCACAATAATAAGATGATGTGTCTTACACAACACGAGCACTACTTCCTCCAAGGTCAAGGTCACACATACAGGTCAAAGATTTACATAGGGTATATTTTGTGTCCGGTCTATCACTTGTTCATAAATCAAGGGATTTTGTTAATACTTTGCACAAATGTTCAAAATAATGAGACGTTGTGTCATGTGCACTTTTCACTTATTTCTACTGCGTTAGCAATGGAGTAAGGGGTATTTTTGTGTATTTTACACCCTTGTGATTGTAAGCTCAGTTTGCAATGTGCAAATTAAAATACTTGTTCGCTTCACAATGTTTACTTTTTAAATACATTTTTAAAATTTTCATGACAAAAAAAGTATCTGGAGCCATGCTTCTTTCAAATTATGGCTGAGTTAATACGTTTAATATATTGATATCTCAATACCTCATTCTACCTGATAGTCTTGGTAGTAAGTCATCTTTTGTCATTTACAAGACAAAAACAAAACATCTATAATTCACGATTCGTAATCCTATCGTATTATTATGAAACGGGCACACTCCTTGCACATGCGTGGGCCATTCTTTTGCGGTTGACAGAAACATTAGCAATGTTCATGGAGACATGATATGCAGAATTTTATGAAAAATACCACAGAACACTGGAACGTTTTAGCTTTGCCATGTCCATAGCCCCCCCCCCCCCCCCAAAAAAAAACCAAACAAATCAAGAAGCGTTTGTGTTAAATTAGAAATAATAAGGTTTCTGTTAAAGCCGTGGTCTTGTATTTTTTTTAAGTTAATCATCAACACTATAAAAATAGCATTTCTGCCCGTGGCGATTCTTATCAGCTACCCTGAATTAATACACACTTGCTTATCTTAATTAATATGTAATAAAATGTGAATCTGGTTCCTCTACTAAGACTCGGTTTTTTTGTTTAGAACCATACTTATTAATTAATTATTATCCTTAAATGAATCTCAGTTACAACTTAAAGAATATTATGAATGAGATTGGTACTGTACGGAAAGGCCGGTGGGGACTGTTCAACTTCGTGAATTCCCAATGACATCTTCGTGAATTCAAAGTTTTAAGATTGTGAATTCATGTTTTCAACATACGAAATTCACGATTTTACGATTTCAACTTCATAATTTCACGATTTAACATTCACTTGAACTTCATGGTTTAAGATTCACTAATTCACAATTTCAACTTCATGAATTGAATATTGAACTCTCAATTCAGGGAAACCGTTTTGTCTTTTGTGGCAGCAGATATTAGGAAATTCACGACCATTTGAATGAATTAATTACAAGTTGGTTCTACAAAGATTTATACCAGTTTATCTATATGATAGAAATGGAACAAAACAATACATATAACACGCAAATCGCAAATTTTATTTCAAAAGTATAGTTACTTTCACAATAAAAATAAATAAATAAAGATTGATTAGTAGAAGTATGAATGTTTTAATTCCGCAACTGTTATTGCATTATGTAACTTAAAAACATAAAAATGGCTTTTGTTTAAAAGCGTTTCAATAATTACATTATTAAACAACATTATTTTACAAATTTTCAAGGTATTCCGTAGTTCTTTAAACAGAACCGTAGCGATTTCAAGTGTGCTTGGATGTTGAAGTTGATCTCTGTCCCGACCATGCAGTTACTTCTGCTAGGAGCTGTACAAACATACCCCTCCAGCTGTACAAACATACCCCTACAGCTTACCCTTTGTGTCATTGAAGAGTACCTTTGAGAAAGGACATCTATATCATTGAGTTCACACAGAAGTGGACATGCACTGTTCACACCATTGAATACTTGTGGCTTACAGTACATCATATCGGGGGAAACGCCTGTTGGGCTTTCAATCTCAACTTGTTTTCGTATTCGGTGGTGATTCCACATTTCATCTACGTTATTAAGATCTTGCTGGATTAAAGAAAGAAAGCAAAACCTGACACATTCAATATGGACGGGGTCACCATCATGCAAGTAGCCAGTATCGCAAAGATCTTAAAAAAAAAGTTTTTACAAAATGTTGTTAAATTGTCTTTCAATACACCCCAAAATTTTTCAATACGCTGGTTTGAAGTTGATCCCATATAAGAAGCTTTTTCTTCCAGACGAACAATCGTCATTTGAAGATCTCGAACGACCGAATTTTCTGTGCCGTAATCCGCACGAACAACCATCTGCAGTTGATTTATTGTTTTAATGTATTCAATGTAATATCTTGCAATAATCTTTGGATCGTTATTTGTGTATGCTGCTCTCAACCGTAAGTTGACACCAGCTGGGTCCATCGCCTTGACTATTTGTCTCACTGTGTCTTGAGTTGCAGCAACTTTACCTGCTGACTGTAATACTCTCCAGATTGTACGGTAGCCCGAATTTGAGAAACCGCATAGGCAAAGTTGCCTTACTTCGTTTATAGCCCTCGGTAAAGGAGAGTACAAACCGTATCTTCTTAATCTTAAGCGTTGAACGATCCGACGGATCTGTCGAAAAGTTATCATAATGTAGTGTGCACAGCAAATGAATCCACATATCTCTTTCCAGGTATATCCTAGCCGGAAGTAATAGGTCACGAGAGCATATCTTAATTTGTTTACTTTAAATCCAGGAAATACTGCTCCCACATCTTGATTTAAGAATAAAAATAACCAAATGTATACCTGAAATTATATGAATTGTGAAAAAGAGTATAAATATCTAAAAATAAATTTTCCTATGCATAATAAAGGGAAACACAACAATTCAGATTTTTTATTACCCATCAGAATTTTCGACTTCGTTAATTTACTTTTCATAGAATTAAATTGAAAGATTCACTAATCGATTGGTAAACAATTAAAAGAACAAACGTGTGCAAGCTTTAGATAGTATAAAATATGTTCTTACCAGTATTTGTAAAACAGCCATAGGTCAGTGACAAGAAGAGAATGCATATTGATCAGTAAGTGATATTGAAAATTAACACAGTCATGTTCGAATAGACACATAGAAATTCATTCACCTTTGCAGTTATATCAACATAAGGTATGTTAAGTTGCATGGATTGATGTTGAGAAAATATTAACATTTTATCGGCAAAAAAAATATATCGATATAAATTAGATCGTCTTATGGAAAATGTAGACAAAAAATGTGATGATGTCTGAACTGATGTAAGCAAGACGTAGAAAGTTTCAATGGCAAGACGCTTTATTTATTTCGTTAAGCGACGGCACAACACATCGTATCGCGTTAAAATAAGTCGACATGCACACATGCGTATTATCTCGAACACGGCATCTCGGGGGGTCAATTCAAGCTTCCATAGATACGACAACATCTACGACTTCTACCGTTTATACGACGACACTGACCTCGACAACTACGACTAAATCATAAAACGATGACGACAAATTCGACTGACTATGACGATTTAAATTTTGCTACTAGGCCTGAGCTATATACTTTGTGACAGTATAACTTTTTTCGACAGTGAATGCATTTATCTAACGTATACGGTGCAACAACGCTATAAGTTGAAAACCATTTTATCACATTTGATCAAGTACGTTAGTTATTGATATAACTAGTTTTTTTTGTTTCATATTAACATGATTTCTTGGTACAATTGTTTCATAAATTTTACTTATTTTGCCTTTAAGAGCCCCGGGTATACCGACATACTCTACTCAAATCGTATTGACCAAGTTGATGTTTTTATTCAAATTGAAAATAAATTACGGGATATTTTTTGTGAAAAGCCATCTTGCGGCTATATGATATATCTTATTTACTGGTTCTCGACTTAAATTTAGGTCGAAAAACTTTGTCCGATAACCAACTTAGTGACTAAGCTCGCAAAAATCAGTAGATTAAACATGTACATGTTGTTTGTTTCATATGCAAAGAAATACGCGTTGTCCTTTATTATTAAGATTTCTTAAAGCTTCGCTAATTACAGGTGATAGATATGGTTTATGGAGCCAGAGATATGTGCCAGGGAGGGTCAAATCAGGATTTTCTTGTACTCACACCTGAGGGAGTCTATGTGTATGACGAAGTAAATGATTTAACGTTAGGGGCATGTAATGGTCCCATAAATTTTACGACAATCTTCAAAGACTATCCGTCCATACCGACTATTAACTCAGTCAGTGGAATTCTAATCTTCCAAACGTCAAATATAGAGCTCTATGCTGGTAAGTATGCATCATATTGAACCTTGTTCTTTCTTATGCTTCCATTACAACATTTTTGTTACTATTTTGAGAAGTTTTGGGAAATATAGGAGGGTATTTTTACAACCTCACTCCCTAGTAGACATAATGATGAAATAATTTATATTTATTATAATTAGTTGATTGTAACTTAAGTACAATATATAATCACTTCCTTCGGAGCATTACAATGACTTTTGAAATATGGACAATAAACAATTAACAAATCTATCCAAAATGACCAGTCTGTTTCTGACATTATCACTCTACCTCCCGTTAACAAGTTTCTTTTTTCGGCCGAAGGCCGTCTGATTTCACATTGACTACCGCTAAAATTAACAGTAAAGAAATGAATAAAGGCAGAACTTTCATTGGTCATTTTAACACTTATAGCCTGTTCGATTGATACTTAAGGGTCCGTATTCAATATATACTATGCTCCTCTTAGTTCACGGTACTTAACACTTTAAAACAGTAAAGAACACAAACAATAAACTTACACAACAAAAACTGTTATAAACTGTATCATTTAGTCATTTTTCTGCTATATGACACAAGGAAACAACAATATATTCAATCAAAATTAGTTTTAATTTGTCAGATGTAAACCGTGTGTCGGCCATTTTGAAAACAGTATGTCATCATTTACCTCGCGGTAATGGTGACTTATTTCAGTTTTTTCATGTTTCAGTTAAAATTTCTTTAAGTTATTTTGTATAATTTTAAATATTAAAAGTATCTTTACATTGTAACTCAAAATTCATTTTTTCAACAAACAAGAACATTTAGAAAATGATGATTGTTTCAGACATATGCACAAATTTAATGGACTTTTGTTGTTTTTTGCAGAAGTTTGTAAAATGTTGTTCAGTTTTACGTCAAAATTTATAGATTTAGATTATTTTGCACAAAAACTTTGTTGTTAAGGTGTTTGAATAAAATATGTCAATTCTGACCAATTATAACAATGGTCACATGAAAATATGCCATTACCGTGAGATAAGTGATGACGCGGAATTAGTGATGTTGAGTATACATCTTAATCCTTAAATATGACCTTATAAATAAGAAAATCTTAAAATCAGCGTTTTTTCTAAGAAAAATCTTAAGTGATATTTTTTAATAAACATCTTATCTTAAGTTTTTCGTTAAATATACAATTTCCATTTATTAACATTAAGGAAGCCAAATAGCAGAAAAATTGGCGTTTCGGCGTTTCTTTACGTCTGCTGCCTCCGCCATGCACAATTCTCATTTCCGCTACTATTTTAAGCAATGGAAAAATCAGAATAGCCTAGCAACGTACTTAAGAAATTTCTCAAACGAAATAAGAAAATTCTCGACCTTAAGAAAAATTTTAGCTAAGAAATTACTTAAGTAGCTTTTTAGGTACTACTTAAGGATAAGAAATATCTTATCTTTAGTTAAGGAAAATATCGCGTAAGGATAAGAAAATCTTAAGACGGGCCCAGAAGAGCTTCCGTTATAGGTAGAGTTCTGTTCGATTGCGCGATGGCAAGAAGTGTTGGGAAAGGATATAAATAAGAATAAATATAAAAACACAATAATGATATTTTCTAGATGTTTTTCAATAAATATATGAAAATAAATATGACTGATCGCTCTTTTGATACTTTAGCGTTTGATTGGGTTTCTCTTCTAAGCTGTTCTAGTCATTATACATGTCATCGTCGGATACCCACGATTGATAAACATGTCACATACTCGTAACATGCTGATAAATGTTAATGGTTCGGCCGTGGGTATCCGACGATGTTTATATGTATTCTCTTCTCGAACCGGGCATAAGACGATTGAAACGAACTTTCGACTAATTTACAGTTGCAAAATTCTGCGTAGAATTTGTGTACAGTATCTACTAAATCTTTGTTTTATTATAAATTCCTATTCAAATCAGATTCCATTTTGATTAAAATCAAATAATGTAAGTAGTACTGTTTAATTCTAAGATGACAATTAATGGGGAAAACATTGCGGGTATAAAACTATTGATTACGAATAAAGCGGTTAGCATGGTTAGTAGTAGCTTATCCTATGCAAATTAACAAGTTTGACTTCGGCCGAGTATCTTTTTAAAGATACTTCTTGTTAATCATGGATTCTCAGAAATCTAAGATCAGACGATCAGAATTACGAAAGTTTGTATTAATCAAGATGTTCAACAATTATTCATAAATTTATTTAAAATATGTTGAATGTTTCAGAAGGTACAGTGTATAAATGGCAGATTGAATCCGGAAATTTAAATAATGTTCTTGGTATGAACTCATACTCTGATCACCTTGGTACAACAGCTCTAGATAGTGTTGGATTCTTTTGGGCAGCACACAGGCAATTTACCTCAGCCGAGAGACATTTCTATCTCGGTGCTGACATGTTCTTTATGAAATCTAGTCAGGTAAAACATTTCAAATTTTCTATCATTAAACAAGTGAATACTCAAAATAAGTTTATAAAGTACGAATATTTCTACATTTTACCTACAATATGATCGCCTTATGACAAGTAAAGAGTGATTTCAGACCCTGTATATATCTACACCGGTACTATCTTGATCGTCAGTTTAAAATGCCCAATCAGAATCGTACCCATATTATGCCTCTGTTAGGCCACATGTGTCACAAATCACATTCGTCACAAGTTTTTATGAATTTGTGACGAATGTGATCACATTCGTCACAAATGACTTTTGTGACGAATGTGATTGACCAAAATCGGGTAAAAAATGCAATCACAAACGTCACAAGCAAATTGAGAATTTTTAACAGGCGAATCACAAATGTCACAAGTTATTTTTCAATATGTGATACACGGAATATCATAAGGACAATCGTGGTTATATCAGTGCGATAGTACAAGGGCGACAATGCAATAAATCGATATTGTGATGTCGACATCACGATACCAATATCTTTTTCACCACCATTGCATTATCGCCATCGTACTAACTTGTTGCAATATCGTATCGTCGGCATTGTATTGTCTTCATAGAACTGTCGCATTGTCGTAATGGTATTGCTATCAAGTCGTCTTACGTTCTCGAAACCTTCAAAAAATTTTGGTGACAATGCACGGCATAGTATCAGACTTCAACTGGAAGTGATCTCTTTTACCTCTGTGAACCCTCAAATTTCTTCCCACCATT